CCACCCCATTTATTTGCTCATCGTCAGCAAAAAAAAAAAAAAAAAAAAAAAAAAAAATGCAAATGACTCATCATTCCCATATTTGGAAATTCGGCTGCTTATAATTAGGCCAAAAAAACAAAACAATTTTGCTACTTGTCCTAGGAAAAATAAAAAAAAAATTTGAAGATGGTTTTAATATTTGTTGTATTGAGATTATTTAATACCACAATAAAATATAAAATCATTTGACATTTTTTAAATAATATGAGGTTATTAATTACGAGGACAGTACATCCCTGGGGGCTGCCATGTTTGTTATAATTATTAGAGGACATTCACACACGTAATCGCTCCTTATTTGGAATTTCCTAATATGTAGTTTCCTATATAGTAGGATGAAAATACTGTAAAATATGACACACTGTAACTTATGGCGTTACAGTAACAGATGTATAATAATATGAATTTACGAAAAAGCACTATATAGACAAATATCATTTCGCCATGCATTTGTTTTATTGATCTGATTTCAAATGGTTGATGAATGACCTCTTTGTTTTCAAAAATGCCTTTTCAGAGCCATAACTGACATTAAGACCATTCATTATTTTAAATACAAATTTTGTACTGTTTACAACTTTGTTTGTAGGTACTGCTCGTCAAATAATTCTGTGTAGAATGGGGGACTGGGCAGAAAAACAGAGGCTGAGAGAGGTAGGTTATGGTCCTTCACTGATTATAGTCTTCTAAGTAAAAATATTTACAATCTTGATGACCATCACAAGGACACAGAAGCCAGCTTGCAGATTGTGTGGTTATGTCTATATTATCATAGTGTGATACTGTCAGAATTCACTTGGCATTGCTATTAGTAACCAATTAAATGCATGGTATGCACTATCAAGATATTATAAGTCTATTTAAATATCATCTGTTGTTGCATGTGACTGATGTAGCTTCACTGACTTCAGTCTGATTGCTATTCCATTGATATTCTTCTTCAATAGGTTTGAATTTGAAATAATAAAAATAATAACAATGTTCTTGCCTTCTTGTCCGGTGTTTCGCGAGTTGGATTAAACGACCATTTAATTATTTACTGTATAATAATAAGAATTTGTTGCATGCTTAGAAATACAATTTCTATCAGTTGACAGCAATAACATTATTTTTTCTGCAAAACAGCATTCAATAAATAATTAATATACAATGTAAATAAGAAGTGTGTATAACCATGTCTAGTTTTTTGTTTATGAAAAAAGTAAAAGTGGCGAATTTCACTATGTTATTTATGAAAAGGAAAATACTTTATTGAGTGATGTAGATTGGTCTGATCTATTATCTTTTACATGGGTAATTTCTAAAAACAAGTTCATTGCTAATTTTTGCCCAGATTAATATCTTTTGCGTGATTTTAATTAAAATCTTTAACAATTTGTTGCCAAAATTCAGGAAAAATAAGCATGATAAAACACTACGAATTTCCAAGTTTAAAAATCTTGTCCTATAAAGAAACATAAAAACTGCCAAATCAAATTATTTTTCTGATAAGATTTCAAAGAATAAATAAAACACAAAAAATGATGGGATACTTTAAAAGAGATGGGTATTAAATCATCTTTACATAGAAATGCAATAATAAAACTATTTTAAAAATCAATAGAATTCATTGTAACAGAAGTGACAAAATAGCTATTCATTTTAATAATGTTTTCACAGGTGTAGCCTATAACCTGACTACCGGTAGTATAAAGTTAATTGTGTATGTGAACAAATAAATTTAGCATTAATTCTGATATTATTGATTCATCAAATGGTAATAATCAATGGATAATAAATCTGCCAAATTAATTAAAATTGGTGATTCTACTATGGCAATTGTTATTGTTTTATAGAATCAATCTTTCTAGAAATAGCAATGCATCACCGAAAGAGTTTAAAATGATCAAGCTATTATATAAATATAGCTCTAAAACATATGCTGGAAAGTTGTCTCCCAGTTAGTCTTGTTAGTGTTATTTCTGAAATTCCTGTAAAAGTAGTTTATATACAACTCAAGAAATATTTAGTGTAAAATGATAAGTTGTTTGAATTCCAGAGGTTTTTCAATCGAGACGAGCTGATACACCTCACTGATCATGTTAGACCTCAAAGAGTCAAAGCCATTTCATGGGTATGGTTTTATTTGATTTACAAATCTGACACGGTGGATCTTCCCATTTTATGTAAAAAAGTAAAATTAATAGGAGTTGAGTCAATTACCTCTTAGTAGCCATTTCATGGGTATGGTTTCATTTGATTTACAAATCTGACACAGTTGATTTTCCCATTTTATGTAAAAAAGTAAAATTAATAGGAGTTGAGTCAATTACCTCTTATATTGAAATAAGTATTTCCTTCTAAACTTTTATTGTAACATTTATGTATTTTTCTATCAATGTTTTGATAATTATGGATCAAATAAACATAATTTGTCTACATGTGTTAATCAAACTAAGAAAAAATAAAATATTTTGGTTATATTTTACATGCGGTAACAAAAGTTGACTTTGCTCAAAAGATTAGGTAATTTGAATCATATCTAATTATAAAAAACAAGTACCGGTACCGGTAATTACCCCCCCCCCCCCTCCTCCACCCTCCAGCACGTAGTGCAGTTATGCAGTTGGGGATATAGTGGTTTCCAATGTTCGTCCCTATGTCCATGGAAAGTCATATCAGGAGCACTATAGACATTCAACCAGTACTTCTTTTTAAATGTAATTTGTTATGGGTCAGTGTCAGAGTTGAGGGGTGTTTTTTTGTGCTGTATATTTAGGTACTTGCTATATTTTATGCTAGACCAAAAATTAAAAATTGTGCGGCTCTATAACCAGACCAGACAAAAAAGCAAAGTGGGTATGCAAATCTGTTTTTAAAAAGTAAACTGAAATTACAAATCAAAAAGCATTTGGAAATACAATTGTGTAAATATTTTAGATGTAAATAACAGGGTTACACAATTTCGTCTGAGTTATGTTTTTCGTATGTTTAACAACAGCAGCCAGCCTTGTGTGCAAAAACATTTCAATAAAATAAATCAGGTACATTCATACAACACTAGGGGTGGCAAGTCTAATTGTTGTGTCCCCAGGATAGTAGGCGGAAAAACTGTAAAAGAATTAAAAAAATAAAGAATGGAATAAATTACCACACAGTTAAAAAAAAATAAAGTGATAAATTGCATTTTAAATGACAGTTAAGAAACACCTGGCTAATTTGGATAGATAGTTTCTGACCTGGCTAATTCGGATAGGTAGTTTTTGATCTGGCTAATTTGAATAGGTAGTTTCTGAACTGGCTAATTTGGATAGATAGTTTCTGACCTGGCTAATTTGAATAGGTAGTGTCTGAACTGGCTAATTTGGATAGGTAGTTTCTGACCTGGCTAATTTGAATAGGTAGTGTCTGAACTGGCTAATTTGGGTAGGTAGTTTCTGAACTGGCTAATTTGAATAGGTAGTTTCTGAACTGGCTAATTTGAATAGGTAGTTTCTGAACTGGCTAATTTGGTTAGATAGTTTCTGAACTGGCTAATTTGGATAGGTAGTTTCTGACCTGGCTAATTTGAATAGGTAGTTTCTGACCTGGCTAATTTGGATAGGTAGTTTCTGACCTGGCTAATTTGAATAGGTAGTTTCTGAACTGGCTAATTTGGATAGGTT